ATAATATTATTATATATATATATATATATATATATACTATATATATATAATATATATATATATGTGTAGTATATATATATATATATATATATATGTGTGTGTGTGTGTATGTATATATATATATGTATAATAGTATATATGTATATATATATATATATATATATATATATGTGTGTGTGTGTGTGTGTGCTTGTGTGTTATTTACATGTGATATGTGTATTTACAACAATTCTATGAGTTTGAGTGAAAATAATAAATTGAAACGAATAAATTCTAACCTTAATGAACTGGAAAAGAGCGGGATGACACTATCGGCTCATCGTACTTCCCCATACCTTATGCTCTGGCTCGATTTCTTTCGACTCGACGATATCGTTAGTAGCAAGCCCTGTGGCTAATACTACATAAAACGTGTCTTTATTGTGCTGGTGATAGCCTGTGGCCGTATTTGGTGGGATAGTCCCAGTGTATAGAGTTATGTGTTCATCCTCGTAGAAAGGTATGTGATATGGATCCTTCTTCCAGACGGGATAATCTCCACAGTTTTGATTCCTCACAAACGGGGCCAGGTCTTCTTGATTGATGTCAGACATGATATAAGTCGTATAGTAGTCAAGGTATGATATATGAACATGCACTGTCAGATGCAGCGATGCTATGTAGTTAAAAACTTAAAGTATACATACTGTACGTTAAAGCTAAAAAATAAAAAAGCTAAAAAAAATAGATGAGCAAGTTCCAGACTTCCAGACTTCCAGTCATACAGCATCATTCGCTAAACCCGGGGGTGGCCCTGTGACACCCAGTGACAGGCTGATGAGTGATGACCCCCTATGGCAAGACAAATAAGGAATTTATTTAAATCATATGTTTGTTTTCATTGAACAATAACAAACATAATGATCTTACAAATCAAAATTCTATAAATAACTCCATGATATCATAGCCCCCATCATAGCCGCCTTCATAGTTCATAGCCGCCTTCATAGCCGCCTTCATAGCTGTCTTCTAAAAATCAACCACAGATGTACAATTCTGAGATTCAGACGGCTATGTATGATGATACTTTAAAAGTATGATATATATGTATGCATTGCAGCATACTCTCGTTGCATAGAATAGGAAATTATGAAGTATTAATTAGAGAGCCAAATATGCAAGAAATTAAACGTAGGTTAGAAAGAAAGACACACAGAGAATGAGAGATGAAGCTGTGTCCAATGGAGACAAGCAAGGCGTTAAAAGAGAAATCGAGTGTCTTTCTAAACCAACACCCCACAGTATGTATGATTATATGGTATGTAGTTCAGTTACATAATGTTTTACTATTGTTGTAGGCCAACAAGATTCTCATTTAGTGTCATTCCAAACGAACACCACACAGTATGTGTGATTGTATGGTATGTATATGATATAAGATATAAGTGACATATTGTGTAACTATTATTGTAGACCTACAAGATTCTCGTTTGGTGTCTTTAAAACGAACACCCCACAGTATGGATGAAAGTATGGCATGTTGATGATATTAGTGACATATCTTTACTATTATTGTCGGCCTACAAGATTCTCGTATGGCGTCTTTCCAAACGAACATCCCATAGTGTGTATGAGTGTATGGTATGTAGATGATATTAGTGACATCGTTTTTTAATATTGGTGTAGGCCTACGAGATTCCCATATTTTGTCTTTCGAAACGAACACTCCACAGTATGTATGAATGTATGGTATGTAGATTATATTAGTAACATGTAGAAATAGCCCGCGAACTTGTTAAAATAGCGAAGCTGCCGAAGCATCTACATGTAGTTCAGTATCGGGTAGTCATAACTGTGTCGTATCTACGTATCATTTGGAAAAAGGACATATTTTATCGTGGACAAAAGTGAACAAAAGTGGACAATTCAAAAAAAAGGTTAACAGTTATTGGATAATTGTCACTTGACAAAGTTTAATAAATATCAGAGACAGACTCGGAGACTCAAGAGTCTCAGACTCTCAGTCTCTCAGACTCACAGACACTCTTGGGGCTTGGAGCCTTGTTGGGCAGACAGCCAGACACTCAGTCTACTGTCCACTGTCCAGTGTCCAGTGAGCGAATCAGGAACGTCTGGCACGGTCTAGGGACTGGGTGTCAGAGTCGTCAGACTGTTAGACAGTGTCCGTGACTCCGTGGCAAACCGACTGTCCCTGGTATTTGTCCGCTTTCATAAAAGAGCATCCCCTTTATCCTGCGATAACTGTTGTACCTATACTATTGGGTCCTCTATAAAAAACTAATTCCGTTTTCAAGCACAGCTGAGACTCAGACTCTCTGAGTCGCCAGAGAGAGCCTGAGACCCTGACTCCTGACTCCTGAGAGGCTGAGACATGTTGAGAGATGAGACTTGAGAAGTTGAGACTTGAGAAGTTGGAGTCATGAGTGTCTGACAGAGTGACGGTCTGAGACTTGAGAGACTGAGTCACTGTCACTCCCTGAGAAGTGAGATTCTAAGAACTGTCACTCACATTGAGAATTCATACAGTCGCCTCTCTCGCGACTGTCGACGTCGTCACGTCGGGTCTCGGGAGTCGGGGCGGCGCCTGCGGCTGCGAGACCTGCTGTCATATTTACTGTCAAGTGTCAACGTAATATGCAAATTTTAGCAGCATCGATTAAATCGTGAACTTATTCGATGAGAGTCGTATGATCTACTATATAAATGTGTCATTCGTTTTAATTCTAAAACTTTAATATAAGTGTAACTATTGATCAATTGTTCTCTTTATCTGTACTATTATTGGCTTTTAGTCTCAAATATAGCCAATAAGCTTAATTATATACGCCCAAAAGAATAGAACCTTCTACTATATTCGAGCAGTACAGTTTAAACCAATGAAAATGGCAAGTACTAATTACATAAAGACCGATATAAATTTTTTCCTGTGGCCCTCACTGAGGCGTTGTGAGTCACAAGACGAATACTGACCATTCAGCGTTCATGTGTGCATAGCTGGCTTCACTCGACCACAGCACTTGGAACGTTCGATATATGTAGTTGCATGTATCCTACGGTGTAATATACATAGCAAACAGCCGAACCTCACTTACGCACACGTAATATAGACACAGTAGCTTAGTTATACTTAACTACGCCTATAGTAAGCATGAGCGAATCCTCTACGTTGTTGGTGAACGGCCAGCCCAATAATGATAAGTCTGAAAGTAACTCAACAGACGGCGGCGAGAAAGGTTACAAACCTGAACGACGAAGTGCCTCGCTCTCAACGCTAGCACGCGCAGAGCTCGAGAAACATGAGACATTCCTCACTATATGCGCGTGTATTGGGTGGGTGTGTGTATCGGCTTCGAATATCACGCTGACTAACTACATCCTACACAATAAGGTAAAGTGGTGTGCTCTGGAGGCAAATTGATTCACCCTCGTGTGGTATAGTTTGTAACTGTAGTCGCATACTATAATAATTCTACGTATGGCATATTCCTTTCTTTGTGATTGGATGAAAATTCACCATATTTATGTTGTTTTCCCTTGCATGTACCGATGTGTCATTGTTTATATTCTGTCTAATGTATGTACCTGTAAAAAGCAAAAGTTTGTGTGGTGTATTACTTAATCGGTCTACGACTAACGTACACATGCTTATACTTTTATTTTTGCATGTACGTATATATATTTACCTTTGGTTAAATTTATGTTGAATAGGTCTTTTTGTTTGTAAGGGGTACCAGTTTATCTCAGTGAGATCTACTTAATTTATATATATATATATATATATTATGTGTGTGTGTGTGTGTAGTAAGCATTCATGTATATATATATATGTATATATGTATATATATATGTATATATATATATATATACTATATATATATGTGTGTGTTATTGTGTGTGTCGGTGTGTAGTGT